AGTGAGGGGTGGGGTAGGGTTGGGTGAGGGTTAGGGTCAGGTGGGGGCCAGGGGCCCCCGTGTGGGAGGGCGTGTGTGGATGCAAGTGCGTTTGTGTGTGTGGGGGGGGGGGAAGTGCACGTGTGTGCGTATGCGTGGTTGTGGCTGCGACTGTGTATGTGCATGTGTGGGTGAGTGTGCGTGCGCTCTCGCAGGGGTTGTGACGAGGTGCTTCAGTGAGGAGAGGTGGCGCAGCGGTTGCAAGGGGTATGGGTTGGTGTGGTGGCGCAGCGGGAGAGGGAGCCCTTGCGGGTCGAAGGCAGCAGCGGCAAGGGAGACGTACAGGGTGTGCAGGAGGTAGGAACGCGTTGGACAGATCAAGTCAATATTGAGGGTGGGCTGCAGTGCTCCACCTCTCCAACCCATCTCTCCCAAAGCCCCAGCCCACGCGCGCCGCAGAAGGACGCTTGCACACATTGCACGGCATCGCTGCGACCTCCTGCGACCACATGAGCACAACTGCAAGAGCGCGCGGGCACGCGCGTGCGTGCTCACCTGTGAGCGCGCCCCCATGGCCATGGCCTTGTACTCCCAGTAGTTCCCGCTGGGGCAGGTGTTGTACACGTGGGGGCCGCGCGCGTCATGGCCCGCCACCAGCAGGCCCACGCCGTAGGGCCGCTTCCACGACCGCTGGGTGCATACCTGGGGGCGCGTTGCGGGGGAGGGGTGAGGGGGGAAGGAGACATGAGAGGGTGGGAAGTTAAGGGCTGTGGAGGTGTGGGAGGGAGCAGGAGAAAGAGGAGGCAGAGGGATGTGGAACAGAGCCGGGGCAAGGGGCCATGACAAGGGGGGGGGGTTGCAAGGCAGACCAACAAACGCTCAGACCCGTCCCCACTCCTGCTTGCAACGAGGCACCCTTCTGCACCCCGTATCAAAGTCAACGCCGTTGGGATATCTACACATGGTAGGGGGGCGCCGCGGACCCAAAGGCCCGTTTCACAGCTGCTCGTGCTGCGAGACGCAGCGCCGCCCCTGGCCAGCGCCCAAACGCCCCACCCTTGCCTGCTCGCGCCAATGTGCCAGGTGGGTTTGTAATCCTACGCGGCCACGCCACCCCCGCGCCCTGCCCAGGCATTGGCCGCCTCCGGGCCGCTACCGGTCCCAGCTAATCGCCCCAAGCTGATCGCACCTGGTGCTTGTCAGCCACCTGCCGCACCAGGCGCCCCACCGGCATCGACGACTCATACACATACCTGGAAGGGGGCGAGGGGCGGTATGCATGGTAAAGCGGCTCCATGTGCTGATGCGAGCCAGGTGACAGGGGCAATGGGTGGTGACAGCAAACACGGCATGTGTGCCACAGCGCACGCTGGGTAAAACTCCACAGGCTCAGCTTGGTCAAGAGCCCTGCTTTGGAAGAAACGGAACTCAGCGCCGCGCACTCTGGCTGTCGCTCTCCGCCACCGCTGGTCACGGCCGCGCGCTGCTGCCCCTGCGGCCCGGCACCAGCAGGGCGATTCAGCGAGGCCCGGGGGCTTGCCTGTGGTTGAGGCACTCGTTGCGCATGTAGCGGCAGAGCACGCGTCCGTCGGCCGTGAGCCCGGATATCGCGATGCCCATGTGATCGTCAATCTTGAAGATCTTGCGCTGATAGGACGACAGCTCGTTCTGGGCGCGCTTGAGCGTCGCGAGAACTGCATGCGACTTGCTCTGAAGGCGGGCGGCGGGCGGCGGGCGGCGGGCGGCGGGCGGGGGCGGCGCGTGTCGGCCGGGCACGGCAGGGCACGGCAGGGCACGGAGGGTCTAGTGTGCGCTTTTGCGCCTGTGCGCCACGTATGCGGGCTGCCGTGCTTGCATATGCGCGGGCGTGCACCCAGCGTCCGTGCTGCCGCTCTCAGCAGCTGGTGCCGCAGCAGCGCCCAGCCCGTGCACACGTGTGCGATCACACGTGCACAACGTGGCCACCGCCTCGTCTGTTGCGCCGTCCCTGCCCGCAATTACAAATCCCATGAGATCCGTTTGCGCACCGTCAGGCCGACCGCGCAGCTGCCTTGCTTCACCGCCTCCATTGCATACTCCACTTGGAACAGGCGCCCTTGCGGGCTCCATGTCGTGACATCTGTATCATACTGCGGGAGCAGGTGCGCGGCATCAGCGGCCCATGATCGCCATCTGCAACCGAGTGCAGCTACTTTGAAGGGCCCCTGGCCACGAGAGGCTGCACAGATCGCGCCAAGGCCTCTCGTCAGAACAGAGAACCGCTTTCAGGCCGAACCTGATTGCGAAACATTATTCTTGGCCCGCTGCCTCACGATCCTATTTGCTAAGGGCAGACTGGCCAGATCACTTTTACGGATGAGGAGGGTCAGAAGCAGGCTTGCGGAGGAAGGACTACAGCAGTGGAAAAAATAAGCATGAGACCGGTGCGATCGACTACCGTATGTATCCATACCGCGGCAGTGCTGCTCTGATGCACTTGCAAACTCACCCCGGTGCCCCACTCCACACAAACCAGCGAACAGGCCCTACGTTATCATACGTTGGAGCTACTTCACTGTTGAAGTTGTATCTGATCTAATCACATACGCATTGATTGATAGGCCACAGTGCGCAGGACCTCGTTCAACCACAGAGCGCTCGCTGCTCCGGGACGATGGCAGCAGCTACGACTGCGCAGGCGCCGCAAGAGCCAGCGGCAGTGAGTCTCAATGGTCTCACATTCTCCTACCCGGGCTGCGCGGCCTCTGTGAAGGACGCGAACCTGGAACTCCCTCGTGGCAGCCGCTGCCTCCTCATCGGCGCCAACGGAGCGGGTGAGTGATGAATATGGCCTATAAAGTGTGGTTTGCCGGCGCGCTGCAGCCCCATGCGGCCCGCACGCTGAGGAGCGTTGTGCGCGCTGCTGCCCACACACAGCCAGTCCAACACCCACGACGGCCGCATCGCGCAGGCAAGACGACCCTGCTGCAGCTGCTGGCAGGAAAGTACATGGTGGGACGCAGCGTAATCACCGTGCTGGGGCGCTCACCCTTTTACGACCTGGTGAGAAGCGGCCATGCTCGATCAGGCTCTCACCCAGCTTTGCTGACGTCCTGCGCCCTGCAGCCGGGTCGACAGCCGCCCCGCCCACCCCACCCAACCACGCGCCTGCTGCGCCCTGGAGCCCCCGGCCCCCTGCAAGCACACCCCTCAACGCGCCTGCGCCCCCGCCGCCCGCCCCGCAGCAACTGACGTGCAGCGGCCAGCTGTCGTACCTGGGGACATCCTGGCGAAAGGACGTCGCCTTTGCGGGCTACGGCGTGCCCCACCAGGTGCGTGTGCACCCACTGCACGCGCATCCGCCTTGCTCGCGCTCTCCGCATTTCCCACTGCCTGCCGCCCGCGCTTCCAGCGGCGTCGCCAGGATGCAGCCACAGCCCCAGCGCCTCTCCCCAAGCCCGGCGCCGACGAGCCTCCTCTCCCCGCCCCTCCCCGTCGCCCCAGGCGGACATCACCGCGGGCAAGATGATCTTCGGCGTGGAGGGCGTGGACCCCGCGCGCCGCGAGCGGCTGATCCGGCTGCTGGACATTGACCTGTACCAGCGGCTCACCACCATGAGCGACGGCCAGCGGCGGCGCGTCCAGATTGCGATGGGCCTGCTCAAGCCCTACGACGTGGGTGTGGGTGTGTGTGTATGTGTGGGGGAGACGGGGAGACGGGTGCAGTGGGGGGCCAGGAGGATGCAGTGTTGGGGGGAGGTGCAAGCGCGAGCGCAGGCAGCAGGGGTGGTGCCGAGCTGGGGCAGATGTAGCTGGCTGCTCGCTCGCCTGTTTATACAAGCAGATTGGAAGGGGGCACGTACTGCCACCTCCAGGCCGAGGCTGCCACGAACCTTCACCTTCCCCTGGCCATGAACGCACTCTGAAACACCGTTCCTGGGATTTGCCTCGTGACACCGCCCCCGGCCCCCGGCCCCCGGACGACCACGCCTCCCCCGGCCCGCCCCACTGCCCCAGGTGTTGCTGATGGATGAAATTACAGTGGACATGGACGTGCTGGGGCGCCAGGACCTGCTTGACTTCTTCAGGGACGAGTGCGAGTCCAGGGGGGCAAGCATCGTGTATGCGACCCACATATTCGATGGCCTGGAGGGTTGGGTGACGCACCTGGCCTACCTGGAGAACGGGCAGATGAAGATAGGTGGGCAGGGGTGGGCGGGGTGGGGTTGGGGGGTTTAGGGGTCAGGGAGATGGTGGGATGGGAGGGGACGGGGTGAAGTGTGCCTGCTGACGGGCGTTACATGAGGGGTGGGAGTGTGGGGCGCTGACGCGGCTGCGTGCGACCCCGCCTTGCGCTGGCCTCAGGCGGCGGCCGCAGCGTCCTGCCTGAGCTCAAGCCCGGCGTGAAGCTGCTGCACGTGGTGGAGGGCTGGCTGCGCAAGGAGAAGGAGGCGCGGCAGGCGCGCGAGCGGGAGCAGCGGGCAAGCGGCGCGGCCCCGGCGGCGGCGCCCGTCGCGCCTACACGCACGCCGTTTGACATGCCCTCCAAGCACCTGGCCTTCTTCCGGTGACCACCCTGCGCACAGTCATTGCTTGAGCGACGATATTTCCAGCCCACCTGCCCGTCTTCTTTTGCCACTTCTTATCATTGACTGAGGGGTTTCCGTGCTCCCACCATTGTGTGAGCTGACGCAGCAGCACCAGAGAGGGCACCAAACACCAGAGAAGACACAAGAGTCGTCTCGTGCTCTTTGCAGGCCGCCTCCCCCTTGACCCACGAGTGCCCCGCAGCGCCACCGCTGCCAGACTTGACGTGTGCACCGAGCGCTGTACCCATTTACCGAGTAAAACACGTAGGGCTTTGGGATTGCCATCCCAGCCTGCAATTCTGCTGAATTGTTCATGAAAAGGGCTAGACATTTACATTACTTTACAAACACAGCCAGTTGCAAAATACAGCCAACTTTCAGCCTTCCCCCCAAAAAAGGGCGCAGTCTGTTCCATGAGAAGCATGCCTAGTACTCTCCAAAGAGAGGAGGCGCCCCAGCCGCTGACGGCTGTGCCAGCCGCAAAATGTGGTGCTGCTGCGCGAGCGAGGGTGTGCCCGCCGCGCGCCGACTGCAAGAGCGCACACAAGCTGCTGTCACAATACCCTATGCCGGCGTCGTGCCCGGGTGGAGGTGACACGGCAAACCCACACCTCTAGCCAGGCACCTACCCATGGCAATCCCAGCCTGGCTGCTGCTGCTGCCGCTGCTGCTCCTAATAATGCTGCTGCTGCCGCTGCAGCTTATGATACTGCTGCTGCTGCTGCTAATGCTGCTGCCTCAGATGGTGTGAATGCTACTGCAAAGTTCCGCCGGGTTCACTCAACAGGCCCGAGCCCATCCAGCTGTACCTAGATCCCAACCAGGCAAGGCCCGAGCGCGCAGCCGCGCGCCAGCTCACACGCCCCGCGACGCCCCGCCCGCTGCCGCGGCTGCCGCCCCCGCAGCCGCCCCGGATTCCACCCTCTCCACCGCGCCGCCCCACAGCGCCGCCACGCCCGCCAGGTCAGCGGCGGGCCGCTCGGCCGCCGCGGCCTGGAACTCGTGCCATGCCTCCGCCGCGCGCAGCGCCGCGACGGGGTCGCCCGCCAGGGATGGCGGGGGCGTGCCGTGCCCAAACGCCGCCAGGGGCGGCTCGGACGGGTAGCCCGCAGGCACGAGCAAGCGCAGGCGCTTCCACGCGCGGCCGCGGCCGCCATCTGACGCCTCTGCTGGGGCTGCCTCCTCGAAGCCCGCCGCGTCGCAGTCAACGCTTAGGCAGCCGCTGGCCCCTGCGGCGGGCGCCTGCGCCGCCGCGACGCGCAGCCGCACGCGGCCGTCGGCCGCGGCCTGCGCCTCGGCGCACTCCGCCTCGAGCGCCGCGAGGCGGCGCTTCAGGTCAGCCGCGGCCGGCGTCGACGCCGCCTCCTGCGGCGGGGACACGGCCAGGGCGGTCGCATCGCTGGCGTCGCTGGCGGCTGCCTGGGCGTCGGCCCGCTCCCCGGCTCCCGTCCCGCCGCGCGCAGCGGCAGGCCCGAACGGGTCCCCCACAGCCGGGCACACGCAGACGGCCGCCGGCCGCACCGCGCCCCATGCGCCGCCGCCCTCGAAGGCGGCCGCCGCCGCCGGGCCGAACGCGGACGGCGGC